TCTCCAAATTATTCGAAAGAATCTTGCTGCGAAGAGTGCTTAATGAGCTGAGTCAAGGAAACACAATACCAGAGCATCAATTCGGTTTCAGGAGACAGCACGGTACACCAGAGCAAGAGCATCGAGTTGTCAACCACATTCTCGGCGCGTGCGAAAACAAAGAATACTGTTCTGCAGTCTTTCTTGATGTTAAGCGACATTCGATCGGGTGTGGCATCTGGGTCTCCTCAACAAGATAAGAAAATCCTTACCTGCCTCCCTTTTCAAGATGCTGGCCTCCTATCTGTCAGGAAGAAGTTTCCGGGTTCTAAAAGGACAGGCAAAGTCGTCGAGCCGACCAGTTAGCGCAGGCCTGCCCCAAGGTAGTGTGCTTGGCCCAACATTGTATACACTATACACCGCTGACATGCCGTTGCCTCCCTGTAACAGCGATATGCTTATAGCGACGTACGCAGACGATACCGCCCTACTGAGTCGCAGTAAGTCGCCCCAAGTTGCCTCCACTCAAATTCAAGTATACTTGCACGATCTCAATCGGTGGCTAACTCGCTGGAGCATCGGCATTAACGCCCAAAAGTCTACGCATATCACTTTTGCAACTAGAAAGGGTGTCTGCTCAGAAGTGACTCCAGGAGCAAACAAGGTGAAGTCACACTGGAAAAGAGACTGACCCATGGCCCGCACATAAGCGAGTCAGTAAAAAAGTGTAAGTTTAAATTTAAAAAACTTGACTGGATGCTAAGTAGCGATAGCCCATTGTCTCTACGTAGCAAAAGACAAATATATAACTCAATAGCGCACCCTGTCTTCACGTATGCAAAGCCTTTATGGGGGTCTGCTACGAGAGCTCACATTAACAAAGTACAAATCAGGCAAAACAAAGCCTTAAGGGCATGGACCGGAGCCGAATGGTTTGTCAGAAACGAAACCTTGCACACTGACCTCAAGATGCCGACAATTGCCGAGCTCATTGGCCGACACAGCACAAGGTACGCGGACAGAATATCCGCCCACCCAGACCAGCTTGCAGCCAATCTAGTTACTAACACGATCAACAGAAGGCTGAAAAGATTGCACCCCTTGGATCTCAGAAGTGACTTAAATTAAAGTAAGATAAAACTTATAGCACTCCATTAGCTACGGAACACTACGGTTAACTATCGACGCCATTGCTTTACTTGGTCATCTACAGTGCTTATCATAATTATAACCCACCAAGAAACTTAAACTTTGAACCAGTTTTAACAACATTTTTGATGTTTTTCAAAAATAAATTTTACAGCACTTTGTAGACAGGAGCATGTTCAGTAGAAAAACTAAGAAAGAACCGTTAACTTTGTAACGTGCTACATTATATTGCGGGGATGGTGGATTAGGAGTGATTGTGCAGTGCACGCGCTGGATCCGGCCATTAGGTCATCGGGAAGAGGGGAGACGGTATGAAGAGGGAACTGCAAGTCCAAGATATATTTATTAAATAAAATCGCGTGCGAACGACGGTCATCGGCGACTCCAATAAAAACAAGTAAGAAGGCTCCAGTCGAGACTGCTCGACTAGGAGATACCCTGAACCCT